CAGGAGGAAAAGTGGGGAATACTCGTTAATGGCTTCATTGATAGTATTCTTTGCTTCTTTCTCGGGCATCAACGACTCCATTACCATACACTGTATCCACTACCAATTCGATCAGGGGGGGGGGGTGCTTTTAATATCGTTTTTGTTTAGCTCTTGCAATACTTTTGCAACTCTTTTGTAAAAAAAAATTTGACTCTTCCCCAAAAATATTTTGGATTTTCGTTTTGTTTGTTTTTCACACATTTAAATCATGTAATTAGACTTCAGAACAGAACGTGGTGCTAACTCAGTTGGGAGGGGGGGGGACCACGCGGCGGTGCGGCGCTCTTTTGGTTGGTACTCTCAGGCTTAGTCTCCGCTACCACTATTTCAGACGTTGCGGCGAAATGGCCTTGTGAATAAGCTTTGGAGGTACAGGAACAGAGCGCCGCACCGCCGCGTGATCCCCCTACCCCCCCCCCGTCCCCTCAACTGAGTTAGCACCAAAACAATATCGAAGAAACGATAGCAACGAATTTTCGCTCACCCTCTATTGAGACCAACTCCTTTATAAGATTTGCTGAACATTAGAGGATTAAATATCAATTATTATTTTTTCAGGAAAACGCGCACTGATTGCTCCATCGATTCGTCAACTACAAACGATATGCTGTGATGTGGGATGCAATGTGAACGATCTGTTGTCCTACTGTGGCCCACTTACGGGATGGTGAAGAAATTCGAAGGCGATGACGACGACAACTTTTGTTGTGCATCGGCATCGTAGTAGCCAACGGCGTCCATTCTCGATTTCCTTGGGTTTTGCTTGCCTATCTCAAACCAGGCACCTCCTGGTCTCAACTATATCATCCTTAATTTGGACATCTCTACCAGATTTCGCTTCATTATTTAGTCCTACCACATCCTTCAAGACATCGTACAGCACCTTATACACCCATCCTCTCGCCCACTCGTTTCCATAATTATCGACTAGATGTTCTCTTTAACTATTTGTCGCCATTTCGTAACAACGTTATTGAAACGGATAAAGATCGATCAGTGTTAGTCCAAGGAGAGCAGAGAACTGGTGGAACTCACTGAGGGCACGAGAGCAAAAATCGCCAACAGCTGAGAATTCGAGATGTCACCCTAATGAGTTACGCAAATGAATAGCTCGAATTAGCTCATTACATACAGCCATTGACCGATCTTGCAATCGGGATCAATCCAAAAATCTTATTGCTAAATCGATTTTCTTGCAGCAGAACAGATAAATCAATACTGTCCTTATAAACATGTTAAATTCCTTATATACAAAGATTGTAACCATAGTTACTACTGACTAAGGAAAGCTCCTCCATTCACTGCCCTATGGCGTTCGAAGATGAGATGAGTATTCCCATATCGCCTTTGAATGCTGATTTCAAACCTGAGTTCCATATTTGTTAAACGATTTTCGGCGTAATGTGGCTTACGAGGGGGGGGGGCCTCTGTAAAAGGCTTCGAGTGATGTCTGATGCAGCGGGTGGGAACACCGGAGACGAATTATTTGGCACGCCGTTCCCCACTCTTCGGGGCTTAGTCCGAAACCAAGCGTTTCGTAATCTTAAATGCCCCCAAAGGCACATTGCACCCGATTTGCTGTACAGAGTCATGAAGCCGCAAGCGCAGCGGTAATGGTGCCGGTTCTTGAGCACGTGCTCGTGGGTTTGGTCCCTCAAGCGCCTCACTGCTGCGCGCAACACTTCTGGAACTACTTGTTATCTATGAAGTGCCTGGCCTACAGTACTAGGGCTTACGATGAACTCTGGCTTTATTTGTGCATGACATGAACGGCTTGAGCAACGATGACCGGACTTCATCGTTAGCTTAACACAGGCACAGTGATGAAAAAAGGAGCAAAGAAACTTTTTCAGAAATTTCTACAATGGAAGCAATGAAGTAAACCATCGAACGACTCCATCCCACGGCCTATTGCATGACAGTTTAGATCATTACCGCTGCGCTAATTCCCTTCATAACTCCGTTCGGAAAATCAGTTAGCAAATTTGAAATGCAGATTTGTGGTCAGGGTTTAGAAGGAGAGTACACATCTAGAATGGCCATGGCGATTGAAGGCCTTGACTGAGATCGCGACAGAAGAAGAGAAAATTCAAATGGGAGAGAAAATAGATTAAAATGGTCAACATTAAAACCTTTTGAAGATAATTATTAGGGTATCATCAGTTCCTTTTTGAGGCACGAAATTTTACTCCCTCGAACTTAACTGGTAACTGGATTGAGATTTGTTTCCATGATTAAATTGTGGACCAGCAAATGTAAAATCAGTGGTTCTACCTTTAGGCAAATTAGATATCAATGAACTAATACTGGAAGGATTCGAGTGAATATATGGCGAATTGAGCTTGAAGTGAACTAGATTTCCAGTGACTCAGAAAGGCAGGTAGTTAAAAAGAATAAGGTCCTTTCCAGAAAAAGCACGTTTCACCACTATTTGAATCCGAAGTATCCTCCTGGATGAGTTATATTGGGACAGAATTGGGGGTATAGTTATTCAAGATTCTGCACATTATGGCACATAATGGAGAAATGATGAGGACTCACACCTCTTCTATAGAGGCAATTGGAACCCTTGTAGTGAGGATACATCCCTTGCGATGCTGAATAAGGGAATCGATCCAAGCAAGTTCCTGTCCAAGTTCCTCATTCGTCCTTTGGTAAAAACGCGGTTGGATCTCCCTCAAACCACTGAAAAAGTCTCATATTCAGTCACCTAAACAAAATGATGGCATTATGAGGGCACATACTTCAACTAGAGCTGCACTCGGATTCGTTAAGTGTTCTGCTCGAATGACACCTTCGTCAAGGAGAGCCATCTCTTTTCTAGCTGCTTCTATATAAGCACTGCCATCCATGCCATGTGAAGCTAGCACTCCTCAAATAAAACGATTTGTGACGAAAAAACAAAGCACCAAACAAAATACTTACTGGCCATTGTGTTATTGCTCCAACAATGTAAAGAATGATCATGACCCTTCTTGCTCCAATCTAGAGTTGGTAGAATCACCTGAATCGGAAATCAATTCACGCGTTCTGATCATAAGACGAGTGAAAGGATCTTACATCACAAAAGTACCAAAATAAGGAATGTCTGAAGAATTTCAGCCGACTGGACATACGTGAAATATTACCATACCTCAGCATTCACCGGAACAAAAATCGAAAACAGTAGCACCGAAAGACCGTGAAGACGGAAGAGATCTTCTGTTTTTGCCGTTTCCATGCATTCTGCTATCAGCGTCCTTAAAAAGCTCGCTAAATTTCAAGAACGTTGACATGCAATTATAAGATGTTACGTGTCCATAGTCAACTCTGGTTTTGACAGGAAATGTAATATGTACAAAACCAAGAAAGGATTGAGTAAATCATTCTATGTTTTGAACTCTAGGTACAACTTTCAGTGCATTAAAAATGATGCGGGCCTGAATTTCTTCATAATATGCGCTTATATTTGACAAAAATGCCGAGCCGGTAGGCTGGGTAGAGGGGTAGTAGTTGGTGGAGAGAACCTACAAGGGCCATGACTCTGTAGGACTAAAATAATTGGATAAGAAATGTGGCGAGAATGAGAGTACCTTGGGAGAGACGAACCGGAAAAGCACACGCAGCAAAAAGAAGGAGGAAAACGCGGGATAAAATAGGAAACGAAAAACGGTTTGCCAAGATATGAAAAGAATAAAAAACCACAGCCCCAGAGCCATTTCAAAAATGCTTTCCATCTTTAACAAACTGACCTGCACTCCGCTATTTTATTAAGAAGATAAGCATGGAAGGCATGCAAAAACTGGGCGTTATTACGGACGATCAGCGAACAATTCGATATTCGATTTGGTGTCAGCCTGGAAGTTTTTTTTTTCGACGTAAAATGTGTACTACCTATAACAATCACAAATGCAAGGCTTACTGGTCAGCTATTTCGTAGAACTCGGCGTGTTTGCACTGAGCAAGATAGGTAATAGCAAGATTCACGTGAGTCATTACCCATATGTTCTTGTCCTTGCACGACTTGAACTATAAAGCAGCACTTGTTGGTAGCGCGATCACTGAGAAAATCACATCCCCTTATTTATATAACTATTCAACGTACCTTAGTGGCGGCAAGAAAGTGTTTCTCAGCAGCATCGGGTTCACGAAGATAGGAGCAGTAGTGGCCCTGAAAAGGACAATGATCTGAAGACTGCCTTGATGAGGCGCCTCAAAAAACCTTACCAGCAATGATTGAATAGCAGGCCCAAACTCTTCGAAAAGAACCCCGCCCTGTCGTTGGCTGTATTGCAGCCTAATTCGGCGAATTCATAAATGATGATATATCACTGGTTACCATAAGCTTTTCAAGTGACAGGATTAATTTTCCTTGACGGCTTTGCATGATACAAAGGGGACAAAGTCAGTTATTTTGTTGCATCCCTTCCTTACCAAATTAAAATACTCAATGAATCACACCGTCGAAACCTCGAACTTCTCGTTGTGCCTACTAACGATAAATATTTGGAATGTAGTTATAAAATTCCATGAGAATTGCGCAAATATTTCCAGACAGACCTCAGGTCAATCTTTCTGTTCGACCAGTAATTCTAGAACTACCTCCAATAATCCCTCATCCCGATCAACCTTGGTATAACCTTTTCACATAACAATAATTCCGAACTAAATTAAGGGATTACTGAGGCCCCTTAGACAACCCATCACCACCATGATTGGCAATAGCAGGCCCAAATCTTGTCCAAAGCACCGCGCCCGCCCGCCCATGCTCGCTTAGACTGGTATTAGCACCCATATCCGCCCGATCCCTCATCACTCGCAGTCTACCACTCATACCAGTCACCTTTTCCAGTGACGGATAAAATTTTCCTGAGCGTTTTTTGCAGCGATATAAAGGGGCCACGAGCATAAGGCCCGTTTTTTTGGTGCGTGACTATTCAATCGTGGCAGTGGCTAGGTCGCCGCGCCAGCCGCCGCAGCCCGCGATGACGCGGCGAATTCGCAAAGAACTCAGCATCCAAACATTGGGGAATGTAAGATTAGATGAAGTTTTCAGTCATGAAACATGGAATAGGAATCACCTAACCCCTTGAAATGCAGTTTCTTCGCCCCTTGCCATTATTACAAACTTATCCTATCATGCTTATGTTAGCGCCTTCCTCACCGTTCCTCTGTGTCTTGGAAGGTGATGTTCTTTCTGGTTGAACCAATTATCACTCCACTTAGATTATCAACTCCCGAAATTCAGGCAGCTATTAATAAAGGAGTCGAATTAAATTCAAAGGACAACCTTTACATGGTACAACCTTTGCACTGTGAGGCTTAAATCATTGCGGAGACCTTAAGATGACGCTTGCTGGCTTACTGATGTCTAGCACTCTGATCTTATCAGTCACCCTAGCCAACTTATGGACATGATAGTTAAGACAAGATCCACACAGAAATCGCCGCTCCAACTGCCGCCCGCGACGATGCTCGCCGCGTGAGCGGCGTGACCCCATTAGCTGACGATTGAATTGACCGTCTCCCGTTTTGGGGCCCTTCTCTGTGATACAAGCTGGAACTACTGCAGAAATCAAACTCAACAAAGTTTGTTGATGTGCTATTAACCATGAAATTCGAACTGTAAGCATTACATTCCCTAAGAATTGCTTAACATGGTTCCAGATAGGACCGGCCTTAATCTTTCGTTCTACCAGGAAATTCCAAGAGAAACTGGCACTCCCGTACAAACATCCTCTGTACAGACGACAAACATTCGTTCTAATTAAAATCTTCCAATTCACCATCCAATCTCGAATAGAGGCTTGCGGATCTGGAGCAAAAAATTAAAAATAGGTATATACAAAGCAGGCCACCAGCATTATCGCATCCTCATGCTGGATGACAGCCATATGTTGCACAGAGGACATTCATCTCATTTAAAGCCATATCGCATCCCCCGCGAAAAACTACCCAAAATCATAGTCGCATGGATGTTCTTTGAGAGCCTAAGAAACTAATCTTAGCTCAATACCAAGAAACTAATATATGTCTGAGAGCTAACCCTTGCATTGTAATCCTGGATATGTCGTACAGCAATTGTATAGTACTTCGCTGCTCGCTCATAATTGCAGCTGCAGAGCCGAGTTGACAATGGTCATCAAGCAAGCGAAAACGGTCAACGGCACCGTGTCCATCCAGCTAAAATAGGCTGGTCCTTTCGAAGGCATGAAAATTATGAAAAAAGACGATAATGGTGGAAAACGATAAGTTTTACCTACACCATACACGTACACCCGAAAAAACTGGTAAAAGCGCCTAGTGTGCATCACTCTTTGAAATGAGAGGTTATGTAGAGTATTTCAAAGTGATCAGGACCTGTTCAAACTATTGCCAGGGTTCCAGCATAGGAGCGGAGGAAGGAAAGGAAGAGCGGGTAAAGGGTTCAATTAGAGAGCTAGAGCAGATCCAAACGGCGGCCAAAGTATTATAATGATCACAAAGGGCGTCGGTGAAACTCCAGTTCGGGGGGGCCACTCCATTTTTTCTCCAATACTCAAGATAAGGATTAGAGGGCTCACGACACGTAATCGACTCATTTAAAGTAGACTTCTGATAAATATTGGTGTAATGGGTGAGAAACCCTGAAACGTTCACATTTCCGCCTGCCATGACCCAAGGGAACGGTCCTGGACCAGGAGAAAGGACACCTCCGCAAAGGGCTAAGGGTGCAGGAGCTCCAGGGTGGATCACCTGTGCAGAAAAGTGGATGGGATGTGGGCAGGTAGTGTGGAATGTAGGACATCCACCGGTCCTTATCAAAAGTACGCTCGAAATGAGTCGTTCACTTATTATCTTATCCGTAGTGTTCGATAGCCCAAAGAACTGCTCTCTAGTACTACGGATAAGATAGCAATGGAGTGGCCCCCCCGAACTGGAGTTTCACCCGGGCGGTTCAAAAGGATGGATACCATCATGTTACAGTAAGACAAAGAGTACCAATTTTAAAAAGACTTGGTAATTGCTAGAACTGCTATCGAAAAAGTACCGTATTCCCATTTGAACGCAGTTTCCATCCTTACTTAGAGCTTGCACCTCAGACTGCAGCGTTCGAAGATGTTGACGGGAAGATCGTGTCTAGAAATCAATTATTTAATTTGATTTAATTAATTTAATTAATTTATTTAATTTCAGTTTAATTTTCAATCAATTTTTTTACGCAACACATAAACATTTTCATCATGGAAAACCTAGCAGGATCCGATAATGTACTAAAACAATTCCGCGACAAGCTCAAAATTACTTCATCAATTATGAATGAACCACATCGGCAATGATTTCTGCAACACTCTAGATGATCTCCAGAACATCAGATTGCATGGTATGGTGCATTCCTGGCGCATCGCCCGATTTACCACGACTTTTCAATCACATAGATCAGTTTTCTGCACCTTCCCAAAAAATGAATGTCATCTCAACCTGCACAATCATTTCTCACAGTCAGCCTTCCAATTTGGAACATGACGCAAAAAGACCTCAGCCAAAAACTCAAGCTCATTTCCTATAGAAAACAAAGGCCTTTCCTTATCGAAAATTATTCCATTTCCTGTCAAATGATTTATATGCCCCCTAGCTGCTGTAACTTGCAGTAGGCAGACGTCTAGTTTTTGAACCACAGCTAGTCATATGTTACAGCCATTGTCAAGGTGTGATGAAATCCGGGCAATCTAAACTTATTTACTTTTGGCAACACTCGTTCCGATATGTAGGCGCTCAACAAAGCAAACATTGCGCCAGATGGTGACATCTCATCCCGTGGCTTCCGTCACGCACTCCCACTCACAGGCCATTCTTTCCTTTAATATTGACTCATTCAACCCAATAAACATGGAAATTTCAACGAAGGACATTTCCTTCCACCTCCAGCCACGAATGAAATGGACGACGCACAGAGCAGACATCATAAAATACCGTTCGCATGCGCTTTTTGAACCTCTCTACCTCTACGAGGCTTGAGAAAAAGGCCGAGGATTGAGGAATCACGTGAAGAGCAGGATCTCCATGTATTTCGTTTGAAACAAATTTTGTGATGGCTTCTCCTACCCTCTTAGGCCGATGTCAGACTTTGCGAATCGCGCGATTCGCTAGCGTCTGCGGTCGCGTCGCGGCCAGTGAATCACTCAATTGGCTGGTACCGCAACGCGACCGCGGACGCTAGCGAATCGCGCGAATCGCTAGTAGCGAATCGCGCGATTCGCAAAGTCTGACATCGGCCTTACTTTTCGGGCAGGTATTCAATCAAACTTTTGGGTTTGACCAGTCTCTGCCTGACAAATTCCCCACGTACGTATTGCATTGCGAATCCTACATTTGCCTTATGAAACGTTATAAACAGTAAACAATAGGCAGTGAACAACCAACCTTCCCATCAGACAACATAAAGGCTAGAAGTGTACAAATGTAGAAAAGCTTCAAATTCGCCGTTGCTGGTGATGACTGGTCAAGTCTATTGATCAATTGCCCGATTATCATCGTCTCCGAATCATCGCATACTGTACCTGCTACACGAGCAGACACCTGAAAAACAGTGAATTTACTAAAGAGATAGACGAAATTTGAACTTATAAATTAAACGAAAAATAGGTGAGCAAAAGGCAAAACAATTTGATATTTGAGAGTAATAGCCTCAATTACCATATTCCTTGTGAGACGGAAATAAAGATTAACAATGGGATCGTCCACGAACTGTTGAATTGCTACTTGACACGCTTCCAAAGCATCATCAGCGCGGCCATCAATAGTGTTGACTTCCTGAAACAGTGGATTTTTATTCGCAATAGCTCAATTTTGAAATTTATGGAAACCTACTATATAGTAAAAGAACAATTTGGCGTAGATTGTTGGGAAAGCCTTTGCGTTTGCAAGTTCTGATCGTATCAAAGTCAGCATCCGGTTACTGGAGGCAGCGTTGGGAGGTCCTAAACATAGGCAATCAGGAACAAAACGCTTCGAGAGGGGAAGATATGTATCCCCTCACCAATGAAAAGAGCCTCTTCTGAATGGGAGTTCACGTTGAGTTTAGATTGCTGCTAAAAATGGTGGGTAGCATGCGATTTGTAGAGAATTATGATTCCATGCCACACCTTACCATGAATTAAGCTTCAAATTCGAGTAGTGCTCAGGTCTGGGCTGAATGATATCACCATTCGTGGTCATCATGTAATTACTGAAAATAGTATAATGTTATATAGGAGACCAAAGATGAATCAAAGGAGAATACCGCGATTCAAGAAACTGCAGAGCCAAATCGAGGTTTTCCGTGTAAAAGAAGTACAGCTTTCCCAACTGAAACCTAACATGCGCGGTCATCTCGGGAGACAGCGTTAATGTGAGTGCTCCTAAATCCATATTAGTAAGAACCAGCAAGCAATGGGTTTAAAGGCTATCAATTCCAGTGGACATAGTACAACTTACTTTTGTGCACTTGATGGCCATCTTAACCTTGGGAGGTTGGAGCTGACGAAGAGTTTCCGCCATGGCCAACATGGTCATGGCGACATGGTCACCAGAAGACATTTCAGGTATGCGATAATTTCAGCCAGAACACCCTCCGAAATTTCCTGTAATGTATTAGTAAATATTTTCATGTAACAGGCACGACATTAGTAGAATCAAGTAAAAGCTGTAGTATTCAATCAGATTGAAGTAAACTTCTGCATTTTAATCATGGTTAAAAGTTTTGATAAGTATATTTCACGACGGTGGATTGGAGCAAATTCTATGAGAGTTAAAAAAGTTATTTTATGGTTTGATGCATTAGTTGCTGGGTCCATGGTGTCCGTATTTTATTTATTTATTTATTTATTTATTTTGCACAATACGTGCGCACAACAATATTGTTGTAGCGATGTATTGCAGGTGCAAGAGTTTTACCTGACAAGTAGATACAATTTCGTGTCCAGATTATCACTGCCTAAGACTGAGGTTTAGAAAGCTGGATTATGAATTTAGTTGAGAAGGAGGAGCAGATGGGAGCTAATCTTCTTCAATGCTAGTCTTCTAGTAGTTTAAAATAAGTGAGCGAGGCGCAACTTTTCAGACAGTCAAAATTTGCATTTGAAAAAGCTGTCAAAGGGAAGTCCGACTCCTTGGTTATGCATCTCACACTTGGCCAGAGCAAATATGCCTGGCCCTGTGCTATAGACGCCTACAGCAGTCAGGAGCAAATTGCGCCTATTTTGGTTAGATTCTTAATCTCTTTGTATAGGTGACTTACGCCAGCATGTTGCGTAAGTCGTGTAAAATAGCGGTGTTAGGAGACCTTTTAACTAGTTTCTAGACTCGGCATAGAGTAACCTCGTCAAGGAATCGATCCCACGACCTCTTTCCTGTGAATCCAAGCCACTGCCGCTGCGCTTTTCCACTTCATAATTCCGTTCAGAGAAAAGTTTAGCAGATAAGATCAGCACATTTGAGCCTAGTATTTAGGAAATGTCTGGCCACAACCGTAATAACTTCGTTCTTGCACCTGAAAGGGCATTCAACATCAGTTCCTTCGCGTCGATTGGTCGAATCATCAGAAGCTACCCAAGATCAGACGAGTGGGAATTATAATAGAACATGGTAATCCGGAAGTGGGTTCCGGCGCCTTATTATGCCACCGATAAAGACGCCCCTGCCCCTGACGTGGTCAACAATCGGCTCACTGGGTAGATCTCCTACCCAATCCACTCCGGAAGTTGCCCATTCCGTAAACGTAGGATCAATCGAGGAGTCAATTACTTAGGAGTCTCAAATAGTTTTGCACTTAATCATATTTCTTCACGGCCCTCTGGCTCTAACATTATCCATTGCGCCCCAATGGCAATGGTGGAATGGTTTGCGATGCAGGAGGAAACCTAAACAACTCACCTGCTAATAATGACAGGACACTAGCTGATAATTAGACCGGAGTTTTTCAATCAAGCAGGTGATTTAGAGCACGACCTTACTACACATACAACGAAAACACTGACTGAAGAGCAGGTCTTAAGAAGTCTCAAAGCAACTGCATTTTCTTCCTCTTACATTTACTTGTTAGAGCGGATGATGGAAGCCAAAACATGCATATTTACAAAGGCTTACAGAGGCTTTTCTCAGATTTCACTGTTCTTTACCACCATCTAAGATATGTTCACTCAATGCTAATACCATTATTTACAAGAAGAAAAATCCTTCATTCAATTAGGATTACCATACCGCGCTGATCTTCATGAAACGAAATGGGAAGAAAGTAATCCCCCGGTTCCTGTCCCACAATTACCTGTTTCTAAAAAGCACCATGTGTTTACTTTGTCTATTCACCGCCATATTTGGCAGAAAAAAAGTAGTTGAACATACCAAACTCTATGGAATGATTTGCAGTTTACATTTAATACAATTGTTTTGCATTGTTGAGTGCTGATCGAGAAAAAATTGTCGGAAGCGACTCTAACTACCCTGGTTGGTTCGAATTAAACCTTGCTGATAGCAGTGCGACCCAAGCGAACTGGGCGAGGAGTGTCCTGAGATTATCAAACTGAGGTCTTTCATGGAGCTTGTCTTTATTGAAGAACAATTATGTGTAATAGTCACGCGTGGAAAGTTGCAGACGGAGAGTGAATGGTGGGGAGGGGAATTTCTCAGTTGTAGAAGCCGAAAATTAGCTAATGGATTCCCCTGGTCATTAATCTGGCTGTTTTAGATCGCCTGCAAAGAAGGTGCGTTGAAGTGCCGAGCAACTCGTAGAACTCTTCAAGAATCTCCACACTTTGCAGAACCGCTTGCCTGCAAAACTAGCATCTCCAGAAGCCCACCCCAGCCAAGATTACTCTCCGCGTCTCAAATGCGCACCTTTTTGAACGTGCCTCATTGCACTTTCCATCCGTTCAATTGTTTCCCACCACGGTGAAGTAAATATGCCATTCCATTCGGGCCATCAATATCAATAAACATTTCAGCCATCGTTTTTGTACCTCGTCTGCCATAACTGCTTGGTCACAGCACAGCACCGCATCACACGTTTCTTATTCATGCCCGCAATATGACTCACTCACTATACATGAGTGAGTCCTACGCCTTCGGAATTTCCTTCACATCAAGAATCGCTTGGAACCCAGGGTACCCAAAGGGTACCCAAGAGTAAGCTCTACACAGGATCAACAATCATGATTGTAGTGCCGATTTCAAAATACGATCTATTTTTACGATTATTACGATCCCCACTCCCTGAGGGAGTCCCCCATACTAACCAGTGTCGATAGTCGATAGTGTAGTTGAACTTGCCGTTACTTCATAATTCCAACTTCACCCCCGAAAGTCCTCCAAAAATTAACATCGAAAGGAGGGGCATAAATACAGCTCGTTCGTTTCAGCCTATGTTTTTCACCACCAACGTCCCGCCTAAAGACTCCTAATACGATCCCCATCATTCGCCAATATCGTCCACGACGAGAAAATCGAAGAGACGGTTCTCACTGACTCCATATCATCTCACAAAAATATGAGAAGACTCCAAAATGCCAATATGATGGAAGCACCAATACGGCGATTCCTTATGGTGTGATATCGATATAGCTTCGTTTTGGATTCCACCTATGGGACCTTTTGCAAGACATGATGAGTGAAGTTCATGGTCAGTGAGTATTGATCGACTAGCACAAAATATCGGTAAAGCGTGTCACAGGGCTACACCCGATATACGATCGATTATCAGGGCGGGACATTTGGGCCGATGGCACAAGCTTTGCGAATCGAGCGATTCGCTGGCCGCCACGCGACCGCGGACGCTGGCGAGCTAGATCCGCAAAGTGTGACCTCGGCCTCAGAGATACTGGGAGTGATTGAGAGAAACGGAGGCAGAAGGTAATCCGCACTAACTTACTTCTGTGAAGATTGCGCTGCATTCCCAATTTTCTACTTTAATGAGTTCTGACATAATAGTGGCATGACCTCGTTCAAGTGCTCCTCATTAGGTCTGCTATATTAAGATAAGGAGAAAAAGCCACGGATGAGTTGGAAGTTACCGGCAAACTGTTATGATGGCATAGTGCATGTAAATAATGCCACTCCCGTGATTGCCGCAATGACGAGCAGCTGGAAGCCATAACAAACGATAAGAAGAGAGCAACCATTACGAGTCGCGGGCGGCGCGCGATCAGAATGAATTCGTATTGAGAAGGGGAATCCCTAGGGCAAAAGTAACGGAGTATTTATATCCAAACAAAAATGTTAGGCTCCACCCACCATACAATCTCAAACTTAAAAATCGAGACAACTAGTCCACGGATGAGGCCAAAGCTTGAACGAGCGTAACCATCTTCAAGGGTACAAGATATTCAAGGCTTTGGTACAGATATGCCAATCGTTTTTTTTTTACGATAGAGTAATATGGGGCCAATTGACCCACCCAACTTCGCCCATCCTTAAAAACAGACGCTGAACGAGTCCAAAACGAAGAATCCGTGAGCCTTGTAACAATTCAAAGGCCCGCAGTAGTACCGTGATCGCAAAATGGGCTCCCGTTCTTCGACTGGGATAAGTCCCCGGTCAAAGACAGGATATACGCATCCCAGCCGCTGCGCTCTATTCGACCTCCGAGATTTGGGTTGGGACGAGTCAGCGTGGCTATGTTGTAAGCTGGAATGTCTATGTACAACACTACTTTGGAGCTATCGAGTGCCGAGGGTGCGGATGGCACAGAGGACCTAGCATCTAGAGTATCGTCAAAACTGGGGCTATGTGATCGAATTTCAAGACTTGTGCACCGTGTTCATGTCATTGGAAAGGGGAGGGGAACATTCAGGTAACTGAACCGCTGCACTTAGCAACTAACAATAAGCTCTAGACAGGGAAGGAATTCTGCAAGAGGAAGTGAGCAATTTGTGTTTTCCCTTATGCTTTTCCTTCTACTGCGCTACCATTAGGGGTGTGGATTGGGTTTACGGACTACTTGATTTTTTCTCAGTGGTCCTGCCACGATGGCTAGAGCGCAGACGGGTGAAGGCCCTAGGACTAAGCCTTGGAGAGAAGGAACCCGCGAGAGAGCGCAGAGGCGGTTTAATGGACTGGATTCAAGGAGTCCGTCGAGCGTGTGGATTGCTATGACGGAAAGCGACTTTCTGCTTCCCGCATGCGGAACTCTTTTCGCTGTGGGAACTCTAGGTCCATTACGAGTGTGACCAGAAAACAACTTTTCCGCGTTCCGCAGCGCAAAACATCTTTCGCTGCGAGAACCTCGGGTCCACTGATGATTAGCGTTTGACCTGAGGTTCCTGCAGCGAAATATGTTTCGAGCCGCGAAACGCAAAAAAACGCGCTTCTTGTCTCAGTGAACGCGCCCCCCAACCCACTGTCCATTCCTCGTACAGTTCGGTGACCCGAGATTCCCGCGAGCGGTCAAGGTTTGCGTGCGAAACAAGCGCACATCGCTTTCGTCCTAGCTAACTCCACCCAAGCTTAATTCCTTGGGTCACTTCACATCGGCACTGGTTTTCAAAGGTCCCCCCTAAGCATGAGCGTCTTGAAAATGTGTATAGGACAACACGATACAACAGACG